AGTGCTGTTGCAAAGAGCAGGAGCTGGCACCTCAGCCCGTGGCAGGGGCACCCGAGTGCCTTAGGCCTTCCAGAGCCCCTCTGAGTCTTGACGCTGCGTCTCGCTCTTGTCCAGTTGGCCAAACAGAGTCGCGGGTGAACAGCGTCCTCTTTCTACCCAGATTTCAGAGGCCTCCATCCACCAGCATCTCCCACCACAGGGACAACCACCCTGGCTATGTCTGCTGGCCCATTTTAAAGAACTGGGCCCCAGAGTCTCAGAGGAATCTGAGGAGCGGTTATCAGGCGGCCAGGGAACGTGAGCAGAGCTGCTGGCCCCCCAAAATCAGCAGGAAGCTTCCATGCTGTCTCCCAGGCGCACCCTCTGGATCCTGGCTGAGCTCGCGCCCTGTGCAGGCTGCAGTTTGATTTAAGCGGCTGTCTCCAGGGTCTCCACAGTGAACGATGGGCGCATTAAGTGCATCTTCTCGGGCAGGCTATTCTACACCGTGGAAAGAACTAAAGAGAAGATTACGGAGGAGAAACCTACTGAGGGTGAGGAGGAAAGGTATCCCTGTGTGGAGGCGGCTGTCCCATGGTCCTCCCCACTGGGGGCACCTTGCTGGCCACCCCTGCCAGCACCACAAGGGGAAAGTCNGTTCCATGCCTCCCTCCTGATTCTGCTGGCCCCAGCAGTCCTCGGTGCTCCTGGCTGTGGCGTGTCACTCCAGTCTCTGTGTCTGTATCATGTGGCTTTTCCTCTGTGCCTCTCTCTGTCTCAAATCCCCTTTTTCTTCTCTTAGGAGAACACAAGTCATTGGACTTAGGTCCCACCCTAAATCCAAGGTGATCTCATCTTGAGTTCCTTAACTTAGTGACATCCACAAAGACCGTAGTTTCAGATAAGGTCACATTACAGGAGTTGGGGTTAGGACTTGGGCATATCTTTAGGGGGTAGGCACTATACAACCCACCACATCGGGGTGTGATGACCCCGGGGTGTGAATAAAAAGTGTATTTCATCAAAAACTGTATTTACCTCTGTTGGCATTTAAAGTTAATTCTCATGATCACGTTGAGGAGTGACAAGCTGTCCAGAGGGTCGTGTTTGTCAGACAGATGGAAGAGTGTCTCAGTAACACTGATCTGGAAGCCATGGGAACCGCAGAAAA